GATACTTAGCTCCACGACAGCCCACGAGACCCCCAAGAGGGCCCCGAGTCGGCCCAAGAGGACTCCGAGATCGCCCAAGCGGCTCCCAAGAGGGCCCCAAGACGGCCCTAAAACGCTCTAAAAAAGGACGCCTAAGACGGCCTCCCCGACTACGTCAGACGGGCTAATCACCTCCCTAAGATGGCCAAAGAGGCCACAGGAGGCCCCAAAGAGGCCCCCAAGAGGCCTCCCAGAAGGCTCCCAGGAGGCCCCCACGAGGCCCCAACAGGGCCCAAAGAAGCTTTCTCCTCGTCGTCCTCCTTTTCTCCCTCTGCTCCTCCTCCTCCTCCTCCTCCTCCTCCTCCTCCTCCTCCTCCTCCTATCTACAACGCCTACCACGCGGACGAAGACGATGCCGACCGGGATCATGACCCTCCCCAATTCAGATCACTCGCTGAGCTGCCACGGGTGTGAACTCGAACTCCTTCCCACCGCGCGGACGAAGACGAGGTCGAGTTCATGAGTTCACGACCCGTCCTTATGCATACCACTTGTCGGAATTGCTCTGCTCCTACACTCAATCTCCTTCCTGCAGCACTGTTGCACAGGCACGGTGTCGGGGTTTGCCGCAGGCAGCTGGATTACCTTCGGAAAGTCGAACAAGTGAGGAATATCACTATGTGTTCCAAGGTGGTTTGTCTGCCGCCTGCTTTCTTGCCGAAACTGCCAAGAAAGCTTCAAGGTGGCCCCGAGAGGCCTCACGATGGCCCCAAGATGGCTGCCCGATGCGCCCGCCGAGATGGCCCAAGACGGCCCCAAGATCGCCCCAGGATGCCCTCAGAGGCCCCAAGATGGTATCAAGATTGCCCAATGTTGCCTCAAGGTGCCCACTAAACTACAAGCCCCCAGGTGTTCAGGTGTTCCTCGAAAGTCCTGCCCAACAACGCCCCAAAATGACCTGAAGATGGCCCCACGATGACCCCGACCGCTCAAAATTGCCCCAAAAGACTGCGAGATGGCCCCAAGAAGGCACACTGACGTTTCCTACCCGACTGTTTGCAAGCTGTGAACTCATCAGGGGAAGGCCAGATGCAGAGGGCGAAACTCTGTGAATGGAAAAAGGCCATGCCTTGTGCACCATACCACCGTGAAAGCGCATGGTGTGCAGAACTAGCGAAAGGGAAAGATGTATCAAGACAGAGCCCACATTGTCTGCGTTGTAAAAGACAAGGGCATTCCCCAGGAAACCGCCAGCGAACAACAGCTGTCCGCATCCGATTGCCCAGGCGGCCGCACGACGAACTCCTTTTTTGGGAGTGCCGAACTGCCTCTTTATTGCGTGGAGCTTCGGGTGCAACCCGCAACACTTCTGCATCGTGTGCATCCTCGAGGCCTGCGTGCTGCTCCCGGATCGCTTCTCCCATTCGGCCAGCACGAAACCAACCGAGGTCGATTATTAGCTGGACTTCTGCTACTAACTTGTGGCGCTATTCCTGGACCACTTCTATCTGATCGCCTTGCCTGGAACTCAGTTCCGCAAGTACACGTTCGGGGATATGTTTTCAGCACGCACGCATGATAACTCTGCAACGAGCCTGCACAAAAAGATCACACATTCGAAAGAACCGAGTGGCAACTGATCCCGCCAGACTTTGGGCGCCATCGAGAATGCGGGGTCCCCGTGGCGCGCTCTTGCATACTCTGAAGGGGCCCAGGGACACACAAACAAATGCACGCAAATGACAGGATTCCCCATCTATCTTCTCACGCGTTCGGGGTCCCTGTCTCCCCCCCCACTTCCCATCTTCTCCCATATGTTCTGGGGAATCGACGATTGATTGATTGTCTGCGTGTGTTTTCTCCCCTCTTCCTGCCTGTGGTGCCCCGAGCTTCGCCGGGCACGCGGCGCCGCCCGGGCCGCACGCGCCGCGCGGCTCGGGCGGCGCAGGCCCCTCGGGGCGCTGCGGGCAGGCGCGGGCGGTCCCTCCTCCCCCCGGAGCTGGGAGGCCCGGGCTCCCGCTCGGGCCCCAGGTGGCTCGGGCCCCAAGTGGCCACGGAGCTGCAGGGAGAGAGGGGAGAGGACAGGGCTGGACCTACACGGTGTGCTTCGTTTTCGTTTTGTGTTCGTTTTCCATCGTTTTGTCATCAATCCGCCTTTGCCGCAAAACGGCATCGAAACGAAAACGGCCCACGATATCTCCAAAACACCGTGTAGGTCCAGCCCTGGGAGAGGATGATCAGGAAGAGGTGGACGGGCGAGGAGGGGAAGAGGAAAAAAGGAGGATGAGGAGGATGAGGAGGTTGAGGGCCAGTGAAACCCAAGACTCATCAGCGATGCTTGACTAAGCCTTCCCTCCAAGCTCCCACTTCGTAGTGCCCCTGCAGGGATCAATGGCCACTGAGGGAAATGCACCGTTGGGAGACAGCAGTTTGAAGATCCTGAGGCGTCCCAATACATTATTATCAAGACTCCAACGCCACGAATCAACCTGACTGTTGCGTCGTGGCGATCGTGAATCGCGCCAGGACACCATTCCCGGGACTTCAACACCGCGAATCAACACCGGGAAGTCAACACCGCGAATCAACCCGAACCGTTTAGAAATATCATGTATGGTAATTTGACAAAAAGATCCAATGAAACTCTTTCAACTGTTAGCATGCATGTGTGCGGCGCTAAAGCGATAATCATATTTTGAAAAGAAGCCGCCTTCAATCCGTGAAGCTCTTGCATCTTGCACATGTTTAAAACGAACGTGCGCGGCGCTGAAGCGAGAACCAAATGTTCAAAACGGCCCGCCCTAACTCCGTGGAGCTCTTGTCGCTTGTCGAACAAACGTGCGCGGCTCTACGGCGAGAACCGCATTTTGAAACCTGCCCACCCTCAATCCGTGAAACTCTACAAATGTGTGTGGCGCTCAAGCGAGAACCACATGTTGAAAACGGTCCCTCCTAAATCCGTGAGGCCTTTGCGTCCTCGTTTTAAAGAGACAGCGCCCCGCGTTCCTCCTCTCCTGTCCTCTCCTCTCCTCTCCTCTCCTCTCCTCTCCTCCTCCTCCCCCTCCCCCTCCTCCTCCTCCTCCTCCTCCTCCTCCTCCTCCTCCTCCTCCTCCTCCCTATATACTCCGCAGTTCGCATGCGTCTCCCCCCGCCCAGTGCGGCATTTCGTGGCCCCAGAGGGAGCTCCACCGAAGGTTCCAGTGGCGCACTTCGCATGCGTCTCTCCCACCCAGCACAACGTTCCGTGGCCCCAGAAGGACCTCCACCGAAGGTCCCAGTGACGCAGTTCGCATGCGTCTCTCCCACCCAGCACAACGTTTCGTGGCCTCATTGGGAGCTCCAACGAAGGTCCCAGTGGCGCAGTTCGCATGCGTCTCCACCACCCAGTACAGCGTTCGGTGGCCCCATAGGGAGCTCCACAGAAGGTCCCAGTGGCGCAGATCGCATCCGTCTTCCCCCGCCCAGCAGAAAGTTTCGTGGTCCCAGAAGGACCTCCACCGAAGGTCACAGTGACGCAGTTCGCATGCGTCTCCACCTCCCAGTACAACGCTTCGTGGCCCCATAGGGAGCTCCACCGAAGGGCCCAGTGGCGCAGTTCTCATGCGTCTTTCCCACCCAGCAGAAAGTTTCGTGGCCCCAGAGGGAGCTCCACCGAAGGTCCCAGTGGCGCATATCGCATGCGTCGCCCCCACCAGTACAGCGTTAGGTGGCCACAGAGGGAGCTCCACCGAAGGTCCCAGGGGCGAAGTTCGCATGCGTCACCCCCGTCCCAGTGCAAGCAAGGTTTTGTGGCCACAGAGGGAGCTCCACCGAAGGTCCCAGTGGCGCAGATCGCATGCGTCTCCCCCACCCAGGACAGCGTTTCGTGGCACCGTAGGGAGCTCCACAAAAGGTCCCAGTGTCGCAGTTCGCAAACGTCTTCCCCACCCAGGACAACATTTCGTGGCTCCAGAATGAGTTCCACCGAAGGTCCCAGGCAGGGGCGCAGTTCGCATGCGTCTCCACCGCCTAGTACAACGTTTCGTGGCCCCAAAGGGAGCTCCACCGAATGTTCCAGTGGCGCAGTTCGCATGCGTCTCCCCGCCCAGTACAACAATTCGTCGCCCCATGGGGAGCTCCACCGAAGGTCCCACTGGCGCAATTCGCATGCGTCTCCCCCCAATAATTACAGCGCTTCGTGGCCCCAGAGGGACCTCCACCGAAGGTCCCGGTGGCGCAGTTCGTATGGTCTCCCCCCGCCCAATACAATGTTTCGTGGCCCCATGGGGGGCTCCACCGAAAGCCCCAATGTCAAAGTTCCCACGCGTTTCCCCCACCCAATACAGCGTTTCGTGGCCCATAGGGAGCTCCACGGAAGACGATACCCACAACTGCATATGGTTGGGTTCTTCGCCCGGCAAATTAAAACGAATGTGCGCGGCGCTCAGTGAAGCTTTACCAATGCGCGTGGCGCTGAGGCGAAACCCACAATTTGAAAACCGCCCACCCTCCATCTGTGAAACTGTTGCCACTTTCTAAATTTCAGGATCGTAGATGGTCGGGGGGCGACAAATAATAAGTACTTGTCTATCCAGAAACGGAATGAAGGAGGAGGCGAACGGGCGAGGGAGAGAGAGAGGGAGGATAGAGGATGAGGATGAGGAGCCCGCGAGGTTGAAGCCAGGAGGAAGACACCGCGGATTGGGCAAGCAGGAAGAAGAAGGCGAAGGAACACTTCTTGAGCAGGGACCGACCGAACCGGCACTCCTATAATAAGCCTACCACGGAATGTTCTTAGAACCCAAAGATGCTCTTTAAACAAAACAATGTGCTGATAACGTAAGCACGATGAGTGAAACAAGACAGTCTCAGCCAGAATTGCTCTGAGAACCTTCGCGCAGACCGCAAAAGGTAATTCAAACATCCTTTGGTAGGCCTATATGATAATATGCTAGCCAAGACGCTTCGCCAATGCTCGAGCTTCTTCCCTGTCGCCCCCGATACCTGCACCTCCGGGCGGCTGCGGCGGCGGGGGGGCGTGCCCGCGGCACCCCCGACGGGAACGGCACGGTGCGGCCTCTGGGGCGGCGCCGTCGCCCCGCGCCCACGCCGCCGGCGCCGCCGACACCGCCGCCGCCTTCGCCGCCACCGCCGCCGCTGCCGCTGCCTTCGCCGGCGCCGCCATCGACGCCGCCGCCGATGCCAGCGTCGCCGACGCCAGTCGCTGTGGGGTGGGCTGGCCGCGAGCTTGGGATGAGCAGAAGAGGCGTGAGCTGGGGGCCGCGATGGCGGCTCGAGGAACACTTCGGGCGCGCACTCTGGCACCGCGACGGGGTTCTGGCTCGACCTCGTCATGCCGCCATTATGCACTGGGCTCTGCTAGCACCGGCGCCTGGAGGGCGGCGCCTGCGGTTTGCCGCTGCGAGCAAGTAGCAGAATGGTGCGAAGAGCGAGGCTGCACTGTGCACTGGGAAGCCGTGTTGCCCCACGCCTCGCAACAGAGCTCCGCAGTTCGCATGCTCAAGATGGTCCACGCAGCAGACGTCGCGTCGCCACTCCTGATTGACCTCATGGTCGAAAGCGCAGTGCCGCAGTGACGCCCTGGCGAACGGGGCGGGGATGGGGCTGCTGCCGCTTCTGCAGAGCGCCAGAAGGGAGCTCGCTATTTGTGCGCCCGGTGTTTCCTTTCGCCGTTGAGGACCATGGCCCATGGGAGATTCGGTGGGGACGTGGCCGACCCCGTGCGCCAGCTCGCGCCCTGGAGCAGCGCGGCGTGCTCCGCGGCCGTCCAGCAGCTGCAGCAGAGCTTAGGGAGCGTGCTGCAGCTACGCACCGCAGTCGCGGTTTTCGCGGCCACGCAGGCCCCGGCGTCACCGGGGCGGGCGCAGACTGGGGCCGCGGCGCCGCCCCCGGAGGAGCCAGAACGCAGCGGAGCGCGCCCCTGGGCTGAATCCAGGCGCGGGCATCGAGCGCGCAGCTGCTGGCCCGACAGCGGGCCGCTGCTGACGGCGCTCGCACTGCGCATGATGGCGCACGGCTGTTGCTGCCGCTGTTGCTGCTGCTGCTGTTGCTGCTGTTGCTGCTGTTACTGCTGGTGCTGGTGCTGGTGCTGGTGCTGGTGCTGGTGCTGGCGTTGGTGCCGGTGCGGGTGTTGGTGCTGCTGGTGCTGGTGCTGGTGCTGGTGGTGCTGGTGCTGGTGCTGGTGCGGGGCGCGAGGAGCGGGCCTGCCGCTGCCGCTGCCCATGCGCGGGGCTGGGACTGGGTGCGGGTTTGCCGCTACTGCGCAGGCGGGCCAGCACGAGGCGCGGGGCGTGGAATATTGCGTCGAGGGCGCCGGGAAGCTGCGGGCTCGCGGGCTGCTCAACCTTCGTCGCCGTGGCCGCTGACTCTCTTTGTATTGTATTTGTTGTGTCGTACCGCGTCGTGTTTGATTGTGATGCACTGCGTCTGTCCCTCAGTGAATGAACCCTGGACGGCGAACCCCTTCCCCCTAGGAGTGGCCGCCAGTCGCGTGTCGCTCCCGGGGGAACCGCTTCGTTTGAGAAGCTCGCGATCACAGAGGTCGGCCAGCCGGACCCGCGGCCCGCAGACGGAGGAGGAAGCGGGGAACGGGCGGGCGGAGGACGGATGCGGATAATGCAGGAGGGGAGAGAGGGAGGTGGTGGAGGATACTGATTGACAGACAGACTGACTGCCTGACTGACTGACTGACTGAAAAACTGACTGGCTCCGCCAACAAATGTGCTGGCTATGTCTGCCTGAAGGGGGGAAGCAGGGAAGAGGGGGATCGGGGGTGGACAGAACGCCCAACAGTGACACGTCGATCAGTGCATTGTCCGTTTTCGGTTCTCGAGAGGGCGCCGCGGCCGTTACTTTCCAGGCTTGTGCCCGCCAGATTTGGGCCTCAGGTCGTTTTCACTAAACCACGTTTTCCTGAAGGGAGATCTGTCCATCCCCGAGGGGATGAGGAAGGAGGGAGATGGGTGCGCAAGGGAGGAGGGTGGTGCCCGAGTGAGAACGAGCGCGAAACGAGCCAGCGGCGAAGGCCGCTGCTGATGGCTTTGGGTGGGCACGGTAGCCGCCCTGCCAGCAGCGCCAGGCAACAACGAGCGAACCCGGGGCAACCGCGGCACGGCGCGAGAGCTCCACCAAACCCCGCTGCTCGCACGCAGCTCTGCGCGTGCAGCCGAGGGTCCCTGGAGGTCCTCTGCCCACCAGGCGTCGGGGGTAGAGCCCGCCAGCTCCGACGCTCGGTCGGGCAGGGTCGCGGGGATGACCCCGCGTACCCCGGGTGGCCGCGGCAGGTCGTGGGGGTCCGAGCCAACGGCTCCACTCGCAGGAAGCACTGCACGAGCCCCGAACGACCACGGCAAGTCGCGAGGGCGCCAGCAAGCCGCACCGCTCGCAGGGGGCCCCGCAAAAGGCAGGAAAAGCTTCTTGGAACGGCAGCGGCGCCTGCGCAGAGGCCGCGGTGCAGCCACTCGATACTCGATGCGACCCCTCTTCCTCCGCCACTAAGCGCGGCGGCTGCGGGCGAGGCAGCAACGTGGCAAACAGCTGGTACGAGAGCTGCCCGAGAAACAGCGGCGTCGGCGGCGGGCGCCGTCGCCTCTGTCCCCAGTTGGCGCGGCAGAGCCAGCAGCGACGAGGAAGGAACCACGAGTAGCCCGAGCGACTGCAGCACGCAGCGGGCGCCCAAACGTGACGACGGATCTCTGGCGGCTGGCGGGCCAACACCGCCGGAAAGGTTAGTAGGCAGTGGAAGCCCACCGGGATCACCAAACCAGACGAAGTCACAGGCACCGTCTGCCCATAGTGAGGCGGGACCACCACAACAGTAGAGCGCAGGTGTCGCGTGAACTCCTGCCTCTGGGTCGGCGAAGCCCGGCGGCGACCTCACCCGTCCAACGTGGGGGGGGCGACTCATCACCGACAGGAGACGACTCCGCGCTCAGAGCGGCTCCTCCGACTGCGTGGTCACCGACGGCGGGCGTGAACCGCCCAAACAGCAGTGCTAACGACCCGGCGCACGGCAGACCCCTTCACCCCCCTTCTGCGGCAAGGGACGCGCGGGGGTCGACCCGAGGCGGCACACGACCGCCAGCTTCCAAACCGGCGAAGCCTGGTGGTGGAGCCACGCTGTGAATCCCGAAGCCCGCAGGTGGGTCCCACGGATGTATCGACAGCGGGACACCAGTACGTAGTAGCGGGGGCGAATCGCGTTGAGTGATCGCGGTCCACTGCGAGCAGTCACCTCCTAACGGAGGATCCCGTATGCCGTGACGATGCCGATCTGGGAAGCCAATGGGGGATGCGAGCACCGGCCTTCACGACAGCCAGAAGGGCGAATGGCCCAACAGGGGGCGGAGCGTCCACCAACCCACCGAAACCAGGCGGCGGGTCCACCTGCAAGCACCTGGGACGTGGTGGAGGGTCCAGCCCAGGAGGGATACGAGCATTATGGAAATGATAATGACGACGATGACGATATGGGGGACGACAGCGGCAACAGAGAGCATGGAGAGCATGTTACCGTCGGCCAGTCGCCTGTGGGCTGGCGCCAAACGATCTGATCGTGCACGAATTAGCCAAAGCTTCCGACGCGCGACGCCTGTCTCCACCACCATGCTGATCCTGCCCATCTCCTCCGCCTCCCTCCCCCCCCGCCACCCCCTCCTCGCCCTCATTTGCCCTCCTTAAAATTAGCCGTCGCTGCACTGAACCGAACAAATAACGTCGAATACAATCCCCCCTTAACCGTGTGGGAGGGGCAACCAGGCAACTTAGGCTTTTCAGCATATTGAAAATCGACCTCGCACGATGCCATCTCGCTTCATATACCATGATGGTTTCATCCGAACATGAGCATTGTGGATACTATCAGTTTGCGCTTCGTGTTGCAGCGAACCCGATTACCTTAGCGCTCTTACGCCGCCACCGCCCAGGTGAATAACAACTCTCAAGCCCCAGACAGCAAAGCGTGATCATCTTCGCGCCTTGCACATTGCAGCACAGAAGATGTTGGAGCATTGATGCACGCGTAACTATCATGATAAAGTGTCGTGTGTTTGCATGTTCTTTAACGGCCACACGGGCACTTCAGCGCATATCTACCGCGCCAATCCAGCGGCGCACCGCAGACCGTGCCGTCCTGCCTGCGGAGTCGGCACTGTGCTCCGGAAGCGCAGATCGGGCGCCGGCAGGACTGGGTGTAGTGCGATCTGGTTTAGTGGTGTGTACCGGGGGGCGCCCCCCCGCCCCGTTCCACTGGCCAGAACTGCCGCCCCCCGAAGAACTATCAGCTCAGCAAACCTGGCTCAAGAGATTCCGGCGCGCCTTCTGCTCGTTTTGGCTATATACCTCCAGGGACGGGCCCGACCCGAGTCGATGCAAGCCTGGGTCTGCCACGCTCTGCAGAGTTCTGGCCCTGCAGGCTCCTGCGAGGTCCGGCCCTCCGGCTGACCCCTGCTTGCCTTAACCCCCGTCTCGAGGCTTCGGACGCCCGAAATGGACACGGGAAGAATGGGTACAATGCCCAATGCCAACAACAAAAGTTGTCTCAAACCAACAGCGGCCACTGTTGGGCAGGCGGCCTTCTGTCCCAAACGGACACAGGCCGCGGCGACACCGACAGCGAGACCTGCTCAAAATGAACAGGAACTGCTGTTGGGCATCGTTGAAGGGGCCCTGGGACACACAAATGAATACACGCAAACAAAAGGATTCCCCATATTCTCCCATATTTTCTGTGCTTTTGTCTTCCCCCCCACTTCCCATATTCTCCCATATTTTCTGGGGAATCGACGCTGTGTTTTTTTTTCCCCTCCTGAATTGTACCGATTATTTCAGGACCCCGGGAGGCTCCCGATGGAGGATCCACGGCGGGCGGCCGGCGGGCGACGGCCCACGACCTGCGACGCACGACGGCCGGGGCTGGACCCCCTTCTCGGGTCGGGCGAAAGGAGGAGGGCGAAGGCGGAGGGCGAGGAGGAGGGCGAGGAGGGCGAGGAGGAGGGCGAGGGGGGAACACAAACCTACCTCGCTTTTGACCACCCTCGCTTCCAAGAGGTACCAAACGATGCCAAGCTACGGCCTGTACTGGTCAGGCCGTTTGACGAGGAGGCGCGTGGTATGACTTGTTGGTCTTGCCTGGAAGCGAAAGCGGGGTAGGTAGTTCACGCTCCGAAGGAGGGCGAGGAGGGCGAAGGAGGAGGGCGAAGGAGGAGGACGAAGTAGGGCGAAGGAGGGCGAGGAGGGCGAAGGAGGGCGAAGGAGGGCGAGGAGGGCGAGGAGGGCGAGGAGGGCGAAGGAAGGCGAAGGAGGAGGACGAAGGAGGAGGGCGAGGAGGGCGAGGAGGAGGGCGAGGAGGTCCTCCTCGGTGGCAGGCGGGCGGCTCGAGCGCCCCGCCGCCCGAGGGGGGGGGAGCCGCCAGCGCGGGCCACGCGCGGGCGCCTCTCTCTTGGTGGCCGTGGCAGACCGCCTCCGCTGCGAAACCCTGCGCGGTGCAGCCAGAGCCCCGGGGGGGGGGGGGAGAATCAGCTCGCGTATAGCTGATCTTCCCGGCGCCTCCCGGCGCCGGAGGGAGCTCACGTGTCGAGGGATGGGCCCCTCGGAGAGGCCGAAACCAGCTGCATGCGGCAAATTTCGTAACCCCCCCTTTCCCAATCCCCCCCCCCTTTCGTCTGGCCCGAGCTTCGCGGGTCCGGCTTGTGGAGGCGCCCCGTGGAAGAGAGGGGGGTCCAGAATATTACAGGTCGCATTTTGAGGGGGGTCCGGCTTTTAGGGGGGGGGCGACGAGGGGGGGCGATGAATCAGGGATTTGGAGTGGCTGGCAAATTTCGTAACCCCCCCTTCCCCAATCCCCCCCCGACCTTCCCCCAGGGCTCTGGCTGCCCGCTGCCACCGAGGAGGACCTCGCTGGCCCTCGCGCGTGGCCCTCGCTGGCGGCTCCCCCCCTCTCGGGCGGCGGGGCTCTCGAGCCGCCCGCCTGCCACCGAGGAGGACCTCCTCGCCCTCCTCCTCGCCCTCCTCCTCGCCCTCCTCCTCGCCCTCCTCCTTCGTCCTCCTCCTTCGCCCTCCTCCTTCGTCCTCCTCCTTCGTCCTCATCGCTCGCGGAGGACCTCCTCGCCCTTTAGGAGGACCTCCTAAAGGGCGAGGACGACCTCCTCGCCCTCCTCCTCGCTCTCCTCCTTCGTCCTCCTTGATCGCGGGCCTTCGATCCTCGGTCCTTTAGGAGGCAGCTACTGGGAGGTCTTCGCCGGAAGGATTCATGAGGAGGATTAAGCCTAAGCCCCACTGGGGGGCTGTTACGCCGGAGTGGGCCGCGGATCAAGCGGGATTGAGCGGGGCTGAGCGGGGTTGAGCCGGATTGAGCCAGACTTCGGACCAGGGCGAAATCAGAATTCGACCTCCCAGGAGTTGCGCCCGGAGGTCCTGGAGACCCCCCGCCCTCCCTCTCGGAGGGCCCACGGAGGCAACGGCGGCTCGCCCGTCTGGCCCAGCTCCGCTCAGCATCGGCCCGGGGGCCCCTCGCGGGAGCCGTCCCTGGCTCGTTCTCCGAGGCGGCTCCGGCCGAGGCAACGAGGAAGCCCCCCGGGAGGCCCAGCGAAAAACGCAGGGGAGAGCCGCCGCTGTCTCTCGACCGGGGAGGCAGAAAGGGTGCCGATACGGCCACCTCCTGGACGTCTCCTGGGGTGCGCTACTGACCAGGATCTCGAAGCGAATCCGGCGGTGGCGACGAGGGTCTCCCAGGGAGGCCCAAAAAGGGGAGAGCGGCCGAAGGGGCAGTCAGGGGTATGGGAGAGCACATTTTGGCCCCCGGAGAGGCCCGAACATGTCCACATGGTCCGCCCGTGGAGGCCCCCGGAGATCGACCCCCCAGGGGGCGGTCGTGGAGAAGCCCCCGCCTCGGACGCGATCGACAGCGGCGCCGCGGAGGCGCGGTGGCGCCGCGGAGTCGCTCCGACGGAGATGAACTGCGTAGATTTCGGGAGCGGCCAAGAGGGGGGTGTCCAAGAGGGGGGGGTGCACATCATGACCGGCGGCATGTGCGCGGCCCAGCGGGGGGGCCTGGGATGTAATGAAATAAGAAGAGGCGCCATGAGATCTGAGGAACAATCATGGCCCGCGCCACGAAATCCACCCCCCCTAGTCCTCACCCCCCTCCTCTCCGCTCCCGAAGATGGAGAAGTCGAAGCGCGTGTGTGTGGAAGCCCGGTCTTCTGGGGAGCAAACTCGGCTTCCCAACTCACGCAGCTCAGAGGGTTTGTCGCTCCTCCTCGTCGTCGTCGTCCTCCTCCTCCTCCTCCTCCTCCAGTTCCTCCTCCTCCTCCTCCTTCTCTTTCGGTTCCTCCTCCTCCTCCTCCTGCTTCTCCTTCTTCGGTTCCTCCTCCTCCTCCTGCTTCCCAATTCCGCGACCGACGGCGGCGCCGCGGAGCCGCTCAGACGGCGTCCGGCAACTCCGCCGCGCGGCCCGGGCTGCCCGTGGCGGCTCCCGCCGAGGCGGCGCGGCGGCGCCCGCGACGGTGCCCCGCGGGGCACGCCGCGGCGGAGCACACTGCGGCGGCGGCGGCCGCGAGGTTGGTCGCCTCGGCAGCGAGCGAGGCTGAGGGGCAACGATAGGCGCTGTCTGACAGGCGAAGGGAAGAACGGGCGAAGCCACGCTAACCGACAGGCGACGAGACCGGGTGGAAGCCACGCCCACCGACAGGCGAAAAGGGACCGGGTGGAAGCCACACCTGCCGACAGGCGAAACCTGGAGAAGGGCATGGTGGGGGTGAGGAGGGATGACGGACGAGGATAGAGGAGGGGCCTTCTTGTTCTTCTTCGTCCTCCTCCTCCCTCTCCTTTTCCTCCTCTATTCTCCAACCCTCCCTCCTCCTGCATCCTCCTGTAGCCTATCCTCTATCCTCCTGCTTCGTTGCGTGCGCTCCCGCACGCGCGAGCGAGCGTTGCCGCCTGCTGGACGCCGAGCAGCTCCTCCATCCTGTGCAGGGGCGAGCGCAAGAAGAAGACAGAGTCGGGTACGACTTGTCCCTGCCGGGACGACGTCGGCGTCGTGAGAAAGCTAAATCACGACGGGCTCACGCGAATGCCAGGTCCCCGTAGTGGATGCAAAGTCCATCTACGATACGATGCAAGAAGAAAAGGAACGCGTGCGCCAAGGACAGGCGCACTGCGATCGACTTCTCCATCGTATGTCTCTAGAGCGTACCTGGGTACATGTGAGATTGGTGCCCCATGGGCGCATGCCAATGGATGCTCTCGCCAAGGAGGATGTCACGGAATGCAGTGCTGCGTCATTTGGCCTGATGGCCCACGGCCGACTGATACTCGTGGGCAAGGGTGCAGAGGTGGAACGCCGCAAACGGGGGCGGCCAAGAGGGGGGTGTCCAAGAGGAGGAGGAGGAGGAGGAGGCGAAAAATATAGCTGGCGGCATGTGCGCGGCCCCGGGGGGGGGCCTGGGGAAGTAGTACATTAAGAAGAGGCGGAGATATCATGGCCCTGGCCATGATATCCCCCCTCTGGTCACCACCCCCCTCTTGGCCGCCCCCGACGTGAGCCAACTCGATGGCTTGAGAGTCGCTCTCGGGCACCCTCTCGAGATGCGCTATTCAGATATCAGGTAAGTCACGTGGAGACCAGGGGCCTCCAGATCGCCAGGGGTGGTGATGTGGTCGGTTCGTACTCCCCCCTCTCCCCCTCTGCTGTCCGACAGTCAACACAGTCTCTGTTCCAATGACCTGGTTCCTCCCTCTAAGCCTTTGCTACTCTTTGTGCAGCTCTCTCTCTCTCTCTCTTTCTGTCTCTCTCTCTCTCTCTCTCTCTCTCTCTCTCTTCAGCAGGGAGGCCAGCCCTGTGAGCAGGGCGGGTGCTTGTGTTGTGGGGATGTCAAACCTCGGAGAAGTTAGACGGGTGTTGCCGACTTCCAGAATTTGACGTGTAGGTTTAACATGTGTAGCTTTTCCATAGTGACCTACCAACCAGGTTGAGTGACAGAGCATTGAACTGTTCCCCACTGTGGCTCAAGCAAAACATCCATTAATCTCCCGTGTCCGCATACGCGGTCAAGCCTTTCTCAGAGCGCGGCAGATCCAAACGCAACTAGCCCTCCCCAATGTTGTCCACAGGCTGGGCCTCGACGAAGGAATCATGGGGGCGGTTCTGGCTACATGACCTCCCAGAACACACTTCTCGGAACAGGTGTGCTGCATCTCCAGTGGCTTCACTCCCATATCGACAAAGGTACTCCTACGCAAGATCCCCCAGTGCCTAGGTGTCCGGGTCACGGATCTGGAGAGACCGCGTGCTCCTGCCAGCCCCTGCGCGAGCCTCCGCATCTGGCTGCGGAGCTGCCAGGATCCCGCACACCTCGCGCAGAGGACGGACGGGATCGGACCCACCGCTGGCCCGTCGCGCCGCCACGCCCCAGGTCGCCGCGAGCCTGTCCAGTGCGCCCTCGTCTGCCGCCACCTGCGCGAGCACGGCGGCTACCCCGGCCGGCCTCCGCGCGCCCCGGCAGAAGCGGCGCGCCCAGCGGCGAACCAGGAGCCGCAGCAGGGCCTCGCAGGCGAGCCGCGCGGCGAGGGCTGGCCCGCCGTCCAGCGTCTCCTCGAGGGCAAGCGGAAGAGGGGAGCCGGCTCAGGGGGGGAGACGAGGATAGGGCCGGGCGAAGGGGGGGGGAATAGCAAAGGGGGGGGGGTCAGAATCAGCTCACGTGGTTGATTTTCCCGTCGCCTCCCGGCGCCTGAGGCGCCCATGCGTCGAGGAATGGGCCCGGCGGCGGGGCCGAAACCGGCTGCATGCAGCAGATTTCGTACCCCCCCCTTCCCTTTCCCTATCCCCCCCTTTCGTCCGACCCGAGAGGATGTGCATGGAAGCGATGATGCTCTACGTCGCAGGCAGATCGGTGATGTGCCCCCGATAGCGAAGCCCCACGCTCCGGGGCGGAGAGGGGGGCCCAGGCCCCGATTGGGGGTGAATGGATGAAGGAACGATGAATGGATGAAGGGATGAGAAGATGCCCAGATAGCGGGCTCGGTGCTGCTTCTTCTTCTTTGTTCCACTACGTGGTTCTTGCAAGATCCAGAGCCCTGCCCGAGGTCCGGGCTCTTTATCCTGAGCACGTGTTTGACGGTCCCAGGGCCTGGCCAGGGCTTCCGGAGGCCGAGAACTACCAAAACCTCCCGTCGCGATCTGTTCGCCGCGCGAGGCCAGTTGAAGGGGCCCTGGGACATACTAATAAATACACACAAATAAAAGGATTCCCCATATTTTCCAATATTTTCGGGGTACTCGTCTTCCCCCCCGCTTCCCATATTTTCTCATGTTTTCTGGGGGATCGACGATTCATCGTGTCTACGAGTTTTTTTCCCTCCTGAAGCTAGAGGCCTCCTAGATGGGGTCCGAGTAGATGGGGTCGAAGGATCGCACCGCATCGCCAATGCATCGCCGATGTATCGGCGATGCATCGGCGATGCACTGGCGACGTTGGCGATGCATCGGTGACGTAGGCGTGGAGAACATCGGGCTCCGTATCGAGCCGCATCGCCGATGCATCGCCGATGCATCGCCGATGCATCGGCGATGCGGCGCGATCCTCCGACCCCATCTACTCCGACCCCATCTAGGAAGCCTAGAGAAGCATCCCCCCCCGCCGTTGCCCCCGGAGCTCCTCCAGGAACCGCGTGGCTGCCGCGCAGGGCCCCTCGAGCGCGCTGCGCTCCTGGCCCCGCGGCGTCTGCGGCGGAGCCGCCGCGCGGGCGCCGTGGCCGCACGCCGGCCACGCGGCGGCCGAGGCCGCCCGGAGCGCGTGGCGGTGGGTCCCCGCGAACTGCCGGGCGAGCCCGTCGCACAGCGCGGCCGCCGCCTCCTCTCGGGTCGGGCGGAAGGGGGGGATAGCAAAGGGGGGGGGGGTGTGAGAATCAGCTCACGTAGCTGATTTTCCCGGCGCCTCCCGGCGCCTGGAGGCGCCCATGTATCGAGGAATGGGCCCCTCGGTCGGGCCGAAACCAGCTGCATGCAGCAGATTTCGTAACCCCCCCTTTCCCAAACCCCCCCTTTCGCCCGACCCGATCCTCGAACGCCGCCGCGAAGGAGCCGAGCACGCCCGAGGGCGTGGACATCGGGGAGGAGGAGCCGTCTGCCGCCTCCAGGGATGGGGGGTGGGCGGGGGCCGGGAAGAGGCGCGTCCGCGGACGAGGCAGAGGGGGGTGGGGGAGGCAGGGGACGTGCAGGCAGGAGACGAGGGGGGCCGCGAAGTATTGGAGACTTCATGGCATGAATCGCCCTCGCCCCCACAGCCGTCCTCTCTTCATCCCCTCGTCGACGCCGCCTTTGCCTCCCTGCAGATCAGCGCCAGCTCCGCCGCCTCGTTTGCGGCCGCGGCCAGCCGCCGGGACAGCCCTGGCTCGGGCTCGGGCTCGGCCCCCGAGCAGGCGGCCAGCGCCCGCTGCAGGCCAGCCCTGCCGAGAGCAGCCGGCGGCTCCTGCACCTGCGGCGCCAGCACGACGCGCGCGTGGCAGCGCGTCGCGCGAAGCGCGGTGCTGAGGCACGCTATGAGGACCGATGCCGAGCGGTCGCAGGCCACAGGGTGGCCGCGCCAATCGGACCTCTGGCAGGCGACCGCGCGGATCGCCCTCACCACGTCACTGGAAACGTAACCGGTGGCCACGGTGTCGCGGAGCGCGGCCTCGGCCGGGCTGTACACCCGCTCGCACAGGTGGAACATCTCCTCGCACTGCCTTGCCTCCCACTCGCTGAGGAGGACGCGGTCCACTTCGGATGCGGCCGCGTGCCACTCAGCGGCTGCGCCTGCCATGCCCCTCTCGAAGGCGTCTAAAGCTGGTCGCATATCGATGAGCCACCATTGGGCCACGATCAGGACCGTGTCGGCGCAGGGGTCGGCTGCCTCGACCCAGCGGGCCACGTTCTCGAGCAGACGCCGCACGTACTCGCCCAGCGAGCGGTCCACAGCATCCGGCGCCGGCGGCGGCAGGCTGCAGAGGGTCGCTGCCGCAGCGCTTGGCCCCGAGACCCCTGGCTAGGGGGCCACATGCGAACCCTACCCCTACCCCCCACGATTTCTGAGGGGGAGGGTGGGGTTCACTTCGTTCGAGAGCTCCCGAGCGAAGTGAAGCCCACCCTCCCCCTCCGAAATGGTGTGGGGTATAGGGGTAGGGTTCGCATGTGGCCCCCTGCTGGCGCCCCTGGCGGCGCGGCGAGTGCCGCCAGGCGCTGCCAGAGAGCGTCGAGGGCCGCGTCCAGCCCGGGGCCGAGCTGCTCCCCGAGCGCCCGCGCGCCCGCGCGCGGGGGCCGCGACGCGAGCCGCGGGGCCAGCGCCCCCGCGGCCCGCGAGAGCCTGTGGGCAGCCGCGGCCGCTGCCTCCTTCGACAAGCGCGTTCCACTACTCGCAAGGTAGCTGCTCGCAAATGTAGGGGGCCAACAAACCTACCTCGCTTTTGACCACCCTCGCTTCCAAGAGATGCCAAGCGATGCCAAGCGACGGCCTGTACTGGTCAGGCCGCTTGACGGGGAGGCGTGGTATGACTTGGTTTTGCCTGGAAGCGAAAGCGGGGTAGGTAATTCACGCTCTGAACATGGCCTGGATCCGCCGCGGGGGATGCATGATCCATGGGGTAAAGGTAGACATGCTGTGTTCCGACGTGTGCGAGTGGGCACTCTGCGAGCAGCGGAACGCGCTCGGTGACTCCTGGTCCACTTCCGGGACCGAGACGCGCCCGCCCGCGGCATGCCCCGCGCCGCCGAAGCTGGGCGTGCCCGGCGAGCGCGGCGTGCCGGAGCCGCTCGGGGCGGCGCCCTCCGCGCCGCCCTCGCCGGCCGGCGCGCGCGAGCCCAGCAGCCGCGCCGCCTGCAGCAGCACCAGCCACTGGCGCGCGGCGCTCGGGTCCTCGGCGCGCAGGCGCCAGACCCGGGAGGCCAGCTCCAGCTCGATCTCGCAGGGGTCGCCGGCGGAGAGGCCCACCCGGGAGCTGTGCGGGGTGCGCCGACGCGGGGGGGGGGGGACCGAGGGGAGGGGAACCAACGCAGCGTGGCCCGCGGCGGGAGGGCGGACGAGGGGGGGAGAGACGGGGGACGTGTTGAGAGAAGCAGGGGGGCCATGGTGATGGGAGACTTCCTGGCCCCAGCCCTGATGCGCCCCCCGAGCCCCCACCCCCTCTTCAACCGGGGCTGAACCTGAACGGTGTTTTTCGTTTTCGTTTTGTTTTCGTTCTCCCTCGCTCTTGTCTCGAATCCGCCTCTACCGCGAAACGGAGCCGAAACGAGAACGGCCCACGAAATCACCAAAAACACAGTTTAGGGCCATCCCCACCCCCTCGCCATCGCTTGGACGTCCATTCCCTGTGTTTTTGTTCGGTTTCGTGCGTGGTTTTTTTTTTCGCCAAATGATCAAGGATGCTCCTCAATGGTCTTCGCCGAAGGAAAAATGCACACGTCCGAGCGATGCCTAGTCCCCTCTTCGACGCCCCCGAGCTGTGGCCGACGAAGAGCGTCTTGCTCCACGGGCCGCCCTGCTCGGCGGCGTAGCGCAGGAACAGGCCGTCGAGCGCAAAGTAGCGGGGGAGCCACCGGGCGCCGACCTTGGCCGACGTCCGCTTGGCGAGCCAGCCCGCGTGCCTCGCACCGGCGTCCGCGAGGCAGGGATGGCTGCCGCTCCTTCTGGGGAGATCCATTACCAGTGTGAAACATATCCCGTCATCCCTATGCTTGACATCACCTCACCTCGATGCCGATCTTCAAGATGCCCTCGGTTTCCGAGGGCCTACCCCTAAGATTGTCCTCGCTTTTTGCTCGCCCATCGTTTTTTTTTGGCTGATGAAGAAAATAGATATAACAAAGATCGCAGCGGTGGTTGGGTTTCCATGGTGTAGAGAGCGACAGCTTGTGCTTTATTATTGATAAATATCAATAATTATTAATAATTATTTAATGATTTATAAAAAAATATTGATAAGTTCGAGGCTGGTTACTCTGGCCGTCATAGACACGAGCTTGCAAAGAGCCGCGCGGACTCGCGGGACATCGGCGCCGGGCCTCCCTCCCCGGCGCCACGGAGCGCGCCAGGGGCGGCGCCGCAGGCGCTGCCACGGGGGGTGGCCCCGGCGCAGGTCCAGGCGAGACCTGCGCGGACCTTCGAGCATGGAGGATTCAGGAGGGAAAAAAAAACGCACAGACACAATTCATCGTCGACTCACAGAAAATATGGGGAAATATGGGAAGTGGGGGGGAAGACAGAGACCCAGAACATATAGGAAAATATGGGGAGCCTTTTTATTTGTGCGTACCTATCTGTTTGTGTGTCCCAGGGCCCCTTCAATGATTGCGTGCCAGGCACCCGACGATGCGACTTTGTGGAAGCGCGGACCCACAGGTCCCGCCCCTGTCTGCAGAGCAACGGTCGCCTCGGCTGGCCCCGCGGGGCCCGCAAGCGGGCCCCGGAGGCCGCCGGTTGCGGGGAGAGCGCCGGGACTGCACAGATCCAGCCTGCAGAGGCCCGGGGAAGGTTTCTCTCCTCCGAGCTCCCGCCCCAGCGCTGCAGCGAGGCCTCCGAGAAGCCGCTTCGCGACGAGGCGGCCGCGCCCGAGGCGACGCTGTCGCCCGCGTCGCTGCCCGCGTCGCTGCCCGCGCCGTGGCCCGCGCAGCCCGTGGCGCCCCGCGCGCTTCGGCGCGAGGCGCCCGGGTCGGAGCCCGCGCGTCGGGCGGCGGAGCCGCCCTGCGCCGCGGGGGCGAGGTTCGGGGGGTCGTGAAGAGGGGCGGGGGCGGGGGCCGGCGGGGGGGGGGGCACTTCGAGGTCGCTCTGGACGGTGGCCGAAGAAGAGGCTCCTCCTCCTCCTCCTCCTCATCCTCCTCCTCCTCATCATCCTCCGTTTCCTTCTTCTTCTTCTTCCTCCTCCTCCTCCTCCTCCTCCTCGGTGGTCACTTCGGGGTGGGGGCGGTGGCCGCGGGGCCGAGGAAGATCGCTCTGGCCTGGAACCCACTGCGTTCATCATCGCCGAGGGCGCTGCTGCGCGGGGGTCCGCCCCTGGGCATCTCTGAATCGCCGTCCCGCGGCAACACGCCACCTCGGGCGGACCCCCCCGACCCCGACCCTCCACGCACCCCCGAGAGGTGGGGGGCGGAGAGCTCCGGCGAGCGCACCCAGCCGGACCTGAAGGCCGCCGCCGCCGGGGCGGGCCACGCGCCGCGAGCCACCTGGAGGGCGGGCGGGGAGAAGAGGACGGCCCCGCGCCGAGATCCGCGGCCCGCCCAGGGGGGAAGGCAGAGGGGGGCCCAGCCTCCTCGGAAGGCGGCGGGGCCCAGAGGTCCTCTCGCCGTCCAGGAGGGCTTCTGTATGACCCCTGAGCGGGCTCCCGGGCGTCATCTCAGTAGGCGGGAGGGCTTCTGAGAAGCCCCGCCGCCCTCTGAGAAGCCCTCTGCCCTCCCCCCCTTGGGCGGGCCGCCCTCGTGGAGAGGCGAGCGCTCACGCGCAACCCTGCGCGACGCAGCTTTCTGCCGGAATATGCGCGCAAGCTGTGCCCCCCGCTGCCCTGCGCCGCCCACCTGTACAGCTCCGCGACCTCCGGCCTCCGCCCGCGCGCCAAAACTGCGCAGTTTCTCGCGCAGCTCCGCCCCCGGCGCCTGCTCGCAAAGGGGGAGTCCTCCTCCTCCCCTCGGGGCCCACCGGAGGAGGTCGGCGGCACGAGGGGAGGTGGCTGCGAGGGGAATCCGAGGGGAGGGGCGGAAAAGGAGAGTCGGATGAGGGATCAGCGGAAAAGGAGGCACATGGAAGACGACAGGGGGGTAGGGAAGAGCCGGGCAGAGGGAGGACGCTTGGCACAGCCATCGTGATGCGAGAAGGATCCGCTGAAGAAGGAGCGACGGAGCCTGTCCGGCCACGGTGGCTCTCGGCCAAGAGGCCCGCGCTCCTCCCCTTCCATTCCTCCTCCTCCTCCTCCTTCTCCCTCTCCTCCTCCTCCTCCTCCTCCTCCTGCTCCTCCTCCTCCTCCTCCTCATTCTCCTCCTCCTCCTCCTATCCCTCCTCCTCCTGCTCCTCCTCCTCCTCCTGGGCCCCGATCTAAGGAGCGGCCCAACAACCAGAGCCCACCCTGTGCTCTCTGTCCGCCACCGCGCCTTGAGCGTACACGCTGGGGGCGTGTTGGACTGCTCCTCTGCTGCCTGGTAAGATTTCTTCCATGCTCTCTGGGGCCGACCGCATCCTCCCTCCGCGCCCAGCCCTGGAAAATCGCCCCTCCTCTCCAGAACTGATTGCGGGCAATCTCCAGGGAACAAATCCGCCACCGTGCCTCTGGACACGAAGCGGTCGTGCCCTCGAGTGCTGCGCCTCATCCCCAGACCCTCAGTCCTCAGTCCCGAGGAATCCGTTGGAGGCCTTGACCCCCGATTCTCCAATCCTTCGTGGCCTCGGGTGCTGTGCCTCGCCCCCGGACCCTCAGGTCCTCAGTCCTGAGGAGTCCGTTGGGGCCCTGAACCCCGATTCTCCAATCCTTCGTGGCCTCGGGTGCTGTGCCTCGCCCCCGGACCCTCAGGTCCTCAGTCCTGAGGAATCCGTTGGGGGCCCTGAACCCCGATTCTCACATCCTTCGTGGCCTCCCGCGCGCCCCCTGGGCTCCCCCCGAGTCTCCCCGCAGGACTTGGCGCGGGCCCGAGGAGCCCCCTAAGACGGGCCGGGAGGGCCCCAAGAAGCTCCTGAGGTGGCCCAAGAGGGCCCCGAGGCCCTCCACGAGCGCTCCAAGACGCCAAAGATGACCCCAAAACGGCACAAGAGGCCGCGAAGACGGCACAGGAGGGCGCCCTGAGGCTCCAAGAAGCTTCCAAGAAGCCTCCCTGGAGGGGCCCGAGAAGCCCAAATGGTTGATCTTAGATGGGTTTTTGAAGGAGGTTGGCCTTCTCGCCTTTTCGGCTGTCTGACGCTCCAAGGAGGGAGAGAGGCTCCCAAGACCGCCCAAAGACAGCCCAAGAGGCCTCCAAGAGGGCCCCAACACGGCCCAAGAGGGCCCCAAGACGGCCCAAGAGGCGCCCAAAACGACCCAAGAGGGTCCCAAGACGGCTCCAAGAAGGGCCCAACAAGGAAACTCAGAAGTAAATTTCTAGCCTTCCGCTCCAAGAGGCCCCCAGGAGGCGCCTCCAAGATGGCCTTCAAGGCAGCCCAAGAGGGTCCAAGATACTTCCAAGTTCCCCCAAGAAGCCTCCAAGAAGGCCCAAGAGCCTCCAAGACAGCCCAAGAAGCCTCCGAGAAGTGCCCGAAGATGCAAACATCATTGAGTTTCCATTGCTTTCTAACAGATGTTCGTACTTGCTCCCTTTCGGCCTTCCGACGGCCCAAGAGGCCCCCAAGATCGCCCCCAGAGCGCCCAAGAGGCCTCCAAGATGGCCTCAGGACTGCCCAAGAGACCCCAAGTCGGCCAGGAGAGGCCCCCAAGGCGGCTTCCGACTGCGTCAGACTGGCCAGGAGGCCACCAGGACGGCCCAAGATGGCTCCATGATGTCCAAGAGGCCCCCAAGAGGCCTCCAAGAGGGTCTCCAGGGATGCCCCAAGAGGCCAAACTCATTTATATTCCTGGGTGTTTGAAGGATTTTGGCACTTGCTTATTTTCGGCCTTCCGACAGCCGGAAACGGCCCAAAAGCCCCCCAGGATCGCCCCAAGATCGCCCAAGAGGCCTCCCACATGGCCCCAGCACGGCCCAAAAGGCCCCCAAGACGGCCCCAAGATGACCCAGGAGGCATCTAAAACGTCCAAGAAAGCCACCAAGACGGCCCCCTGGAGCATGCCAAAAGGGCCCCCAAGTCAGCCCAGAGAGGCCCCCAAGACGGCGCCCGACGGCGTCAGACGGGCCAGGAGCCCACCAAGACGGCCGAAAATGGCCGTTAAGATGACCCAAAACGGCCCAAGATGCCTCCAAGAGGGTCTCCAGCACGGCCCGAACAAGCCAAAATCCGTGTTTCTTAGGTGTGCGGAAGGATGTTTGTCTTTGCAGCTGTTCGGCCTTCCGACGGCCCGGGACGGCCCAAAAGCCCCCCCAAGATCGCCCCAAGATCGCCCAAGAGGCCTCCAAGATGGCCCCAGAACGGCCCAAGAGGCCTCCAGAAAGGCTCCAAGAGGGCCACAAGAGGGCCCTAAAAGGCTTCAAAGACGCCCTAGATGGCATCCAAGACGGCCCTGGAGCACCCCAAGAGGGCCCTAAGCCGACCCAAAGAAGCCCCCAAGACGGCTTCCGACTGCGTCAGACTGGCCAGGAGCCCACCAAGACGGCCAAAGGGGCCCCCGAGAAGCCCTCAAAGGCACCCCAAGAGGCCCAAGGAGGCCTCCAAGATGCCTCCAGGAGGCTCACAGGAAGCTCCCAAGTGGCCCCAAGAGTCTCCCCAGAGGCTCGCAATATGCCCCCTCCTCCTCCTCCTCCTCCTGCTCCTCCCAACAGTTGGGGGAACACACAGGCGATTCCAGAAGGCAGGCGGCGGCGGTGATTCGCCGTGGGCGTCCTCGATTCGCCGCCCCCAGTGGTCTTGCCACAGGGGTGCACAACGTGCTAGCTCCTACCGGTTTGGTTTTGGTTTCTTTTCCCCCAAAAAAGAACTCTGCCCTGGGGCTTCGGCCCGTCCTGCCGGCCACCCAGCCGGAATCGGAAACGAGCACAACGTCCGCAAACAATCCACTAAGACGCCAACGATAACCTCCAAGAGGGCCAATATGCGTTTTAATTTCGCCCAAGATGGTCTAAGATGGCCTCCAAGATGGCCCAAGAGGGTCCAAGATGACTCCAAGTCGTCCAATTCCACACAAGAAGCCTCCAGGTCGGCCCAAGATGGCCTCAAGATGGCCCATCACGGCCCAGGAGGCCCCCAAGAGGCCTCCAAGACGGCCCAAGAGAACTTCAAAAGGGCCTCCAGAAAGGCCCGAAGAGGCCAAGATCATTTACGTTCCCTAGGTGTTCGAAGGATTTTGGCATGTGCTTCTGTTCGGCCTTCCGACGGCCCGAGACGGCCCAACAAAAGCTCCCCAAGATCGCCCAAGAGGCCTTCAAGATGGCCCCAGCTTCCAAAACGCCCAAGATGGCCTCCAAGACGGCGTTGGAGCACCCCAAGAGGGCCCTAAGCCGGCCCAAAGAAGCCCCCAAGGCGGCCCAAGATGGCTCCATGATGCCCAAGAGGTCCCGAAGAGGCCTCCAAGACAGCCCAAGAGAACTCCTTAAGGGCCTCCAGAAAGGCCCGAAGAGGCCAACATCATCTACTTTCCCCAAGTGTTTGAAGGACTTTGGCATTTGCTTCTGTTCGGCCTTCCGACGGCCCGAGACGGCCCAAGAGCCCCCCAAGATCGCTCCAAGAGGGCCCAAGAGGCCTCCAAGATGGCCCCAGAATTGCCCAAGAGGCCCCCAAGAGGGCCCCAGGAGGGTCCCAATGAGGCCCCCAAGACGCCCTAGATGGCCTCCAAGGCGGCCCTGGAGGCCATCAAGACGGCCCCAAATGGCTTCAAGATGGCCTAAGAGGTCCCCAAGAGGTCTCTAGGCTGCCCAAGAGGCCTCCAAGAGGGCCTCGAGGAAGGCCCGAAGAGGCCAACAGCATTATGTTTCTTAGGCTTGTGTTGGATGTTGGCATTTGCTTCTGTTCGGCCTTCCAACGGCCCGAGACGGCCCAAAAGCCCCCCAAGATCTCCCCCAGATCGCCCAAGAGGCCTCCACGATGGCCCCAGAACAGCCCAAAAGGCCTCCAAGACGGCCCCAAGAGGGCCACAAGAGGGCCCAAGAGGCTTCGAAGACGCCCAAGATGGTCTCCAAGACGGCCCTGGAGCACCCAAAGATGGCCTCAAGTCGGCCCAGAGAAGCCCCCAAGACGGCTTCCGACGGGGCAGGAATGCCTTCGGCCAAAGAGACCCCCTAGAAGCCCCCAAAGGCCCCAAGAGGCCCAAGGAGGCCCCCAAGATGCCTCCAAGAGGCTCCCAGAAAGCTCCCTGGAGGCCCCAAGAGTGCCCCAAGAGGCTCCCAAGATGCCCCCTCCTCTCCATCTCCTGCTCTTCCCCGCCGTCTTCCCCCAAGTGTTCCCTGAAGGGTTTCTACAACGGCTGGGGGAACATATGGCCCGATAGCTTGGCAGAGCTCTTGCCACAACGCTCAGCCACATGGGCGATTCTAAAAGGCAGGGGGCGGCGGTGATTCGCCGTAGGTATCTTCGATACTCGTTGGAGGGGCTCTGAGGAGAGGCCCTGGCCGCGGGAGGTACAATCATACAATCAAATCCCAGACAGCAAACAAGAACACCCGAAGACAGTTCAAACAGCCAAACATCGCCCCAAGACAGCCAAGCTCGCCCCAAGACGGCCCTGAAAATATCCAAAAGACTACACAACGAGACTTCCGGACACTCCAAAAGGATCCTAAGATGGCCGCAAGATGACCCAAGATCCCCTAAGACGACCCACGCGGGCTCCAAGAGGATGCCCAAGAGCGTCAAGAGGCAAAAGTCTAGCACTTCCCGCGGGCTTGTATTTTAGCATGCTCGACTCCTCGGGTTTCCAATTGTCCAATACGGCCCAAACGTTTCCCAAGACGAAGACGGCGCAAGTGTGCTCCAAGATGGCCCCGTGAGGATCCAGGACAGCCCAAGAGGGCCTCAAGGCGGCCAAGAG